GTTTTGTAAAATATATGTTCTTTTTGGTGAATCTGTGAAAAACAAAAAAATCAATAATTCATTGACAGAATAATCAATATTTTTTTTTTACATACTTTCAATAAACACTTGAACTAATGAAAATCCAATTTTCCGACGTCCTGTTACTTCTGTAGTTTCTACGTAAACTGGAGTTTACAATAAAATCTTTGGTATATTGAAAACACTGCTGATAAGGATTTTCCTTTAGATCAAGAAATTTGATCAGACCGGAAGTCGATTTTACTTTAACCTTTGTAATATAATATCTTTCGGCCTGACGTTGCTAATTGCCAAGACAAAAGATTATTGGGTTGCCATAAAGTGCGAATGTAACATTAATGTATTGTCCAATGCAGGTTTCGTATAAACAATCAGCACAATATTCCATACGGTGAAAAAATATACAACTTGTTAAATCCAATGCCTTTTCGCAAGCCCAGTTTTGGTGTATTTTAGTTTTTGCAGTACATGTTCCTCCGTTTGATCCTAAGGCTATATCTGTAAAATATTTTTCACTGTCGACTTTTCCAGAAATATCTGTTTTTTCCAACAAAAAACGGTGCTATTTTGCAGTAGAAAACGAATAGTTTAATGATAATACAAACCAATGTCGTATGCAAATATCATAACTGAAGTAAAGCCTGAATTTTCTGCGGTTGATGAATGAAATGGAGAAAAAGTCATGTTTTGTATTTGTCCAAAATTATTAATGCTTGGTAGAAAACATTGAATTTCCGCTTCAATATCAAGCGTCACTATATATGGTGAGTCATTGCCAACAGTAATTACAGCGTGTCTTGCTACATGCGTAGACGAAAGAAATGGTTGAGAAACGCAATATTCAATAATATCATATGGTTTTCTAAAATTTATTTTCCGAACTACTACAATCTGAGATACACTTTGTCCTCCAAGATTTTCATTTGAACCCAATGTGGATAGAATACATTATCGCATACAAAGTTAAATCCTGCATGTGGAGATGCAGTTGTCATACTTGTACACGTTGAATTCATTGATTTATCAGCAATATTGATTAATTTTCCTTCTGAATAATAATTTAAAATATTAAACAAATTGTTGTTTTTGTTATCTAAAAATGAAAGAGAGAAGTTAACGAATTTCCAGATCCGAATGTAAAAGATTATTTATCTTATTCAAAAGTATTCAATCACAAATTTGAATTTGGCACAATTCAACTTTAAACAAAGCAGAAAATGTAAGCAAAACTATACTAACTAGTTTGTATTGATGAAAGAGAAGATAAGAACAAGGAAGAGACTTGCAAAATAATGAAAATATACATTGGTAACAAGAATTCAGTATCTTCACATTTTTGATTAAAAAGACTGTTTCCATATAATAATATTAGAGTTTCATTTATTCATTTCTTTTGTCATTGTTTATATTTTAGAACATTTTTGCAGCAAATTTCCAAATTTTCTACATTGTTCTTCGCTCAAAGAGCATCTGTTGAAATCAATATACTTTAGTGTATTTGATGATTGTTCAAGTCCTTCAAATATGTCAACTAATCCACTATGCAAAGCACCATTTTCTGAAATATTTATTGTTTTTTGTTTTAGAACATTTTTTCAGTAATTTTCCAAATTTTCTACATTGTTCTTCACTCAGAGAGCAGTTTTGAAATTTAACATACTTTAATGTTTTTGATGATTGTTCAAGTCTTTCCCAAATGCTTTTCATAATTGTACAGATATATAGACATTTTCCATGAACATCCAATAATCCTTAGCATAAAGACTGCAATGAGCAAGAACTTCCAATGGTCAAAAATAAAACAAGACACAAATCATAAAGTTATACTCTAAACAGTATAAACCACATTTATAACCACAGAGTTGTATATATTGTTAATTTATAACCTTCAATAATGTCTTGCGGCTATACTTTGTCTGTAAAATGTTATCAAAGATCAAAGATTATTTTATTTTTTATACAGAAAGTGAAGTTTTAATTCCAACTAAATAACAAAATAAAAAAAAAAGCTAAAATTGTCCTTAATGCAAAAAGATAAATTAGATAAAAAAAACTTGTTATTCCTCAATTCATTTTTTGAATTTGGCCTATCACATTAAAGTGATTATATTTCTGAGATTTAAAACGAAAGTAATTATGATTGGATATTTTCAGAGTGGCATCATAAACTCTTATAATTTTAAACAAATATTAATGTTGACCTATTTGTATACAACTTTCATAATACATAATAACCTTACATTTTGTCTCTAATCTTACTTTTACTTGTGTGAATAGTGAAATTTTGTCAACGGATGCAACAGAAAACGTCGACAAATCAGTACTTTTACCCTAACCCTAACCCAGCCCTTAGCTCTACCTAACCCTTTTCTGTTGTACAGATATATCTTATATCAACAACAAATTTCAAACAATTACTATGCAGAAAGATCAAATTATATTTCAAATATTGAGTTTGGACTTGGCAGTTCAAAAGTATTTTCGAGAAATCATAAAAATAAAATTCAGGAAGTTTATTGTTGCCTTGATATTTCTCTATTTTCTTCATAGTGAATATTTTCTTTGTCAAACAACAAATTTCTTTTGGCAAAATATCAAAATATATATTTAAAACACTTTAAAAGTATTAGATGTCACTGATTCATATTTAAATAATCACCAGTAAGTTCAATTTTAATAGAATAATATAAAAGATCTACCAATAAGTATAAATCAAATCTAAAATTCTAAGACATTATCTGGACAGTTCACCAACTGCAAAGCAATAATTGAGAATTAGATGCAAACTTCAGAGTGTATAAACCCTCCACTGAAAACAAGCTTAGTTCAACAAGATATCTACTTTACCACAATGGATGTTAGTGTGATAATTTAGCATATGTCAAGACTACACATTTGTTAATTATTTAGTTTATTTCAAATTGCAGTAAAACAAACATAGGAGGTTTAACCTATTCAACTATTAGTGAGCTCATTCATAAACATCAATAAATTCATTGTCACTTGCATAGGTGAATTTTACAATTGAATAAAAAAAATTTGAAAAATCATTTTTCAGGTATAAAATTTCTTCATCATTCCTAAAACAGAAACTGATATCAAAAACCCTTAATGTATTTGATGATTGAAAATAATATATTCTCCCTAAAATAGAAAATAAAAGTAGAACAATACTAAAAATTTCAAAGAATAAAATAGCAAAAGTGGGTTGGGACATTTTATCCTGAACATTTTGCCCCTGAATGGGATATTTTTTCTCCCTTTTCCCTTGACAAAATAATCATGTGATCATGCACATTTTTTATGATTGGTTTGTTGAACCAATGCACTTTTTTGATCATTCTTGTTCACTTAGATGTCATGATATGATATATTAATATTTTAGACTTTATATATAAAGGTACATTAGAAAGACTTCTATTTCATAGGAATTACAATGGTGCAACTTTAGAAGGGCTTTTATTTCGTAGAGTTAGCTTTTAGTACTTTAGAAAGAATTTTATTTTGCAAGAAATTGTGTGGGACAATCCATTCATGTTTCTAAATCCCTATTCTGCTTTTTCTCTGCATATAACTTCCATTCACACATGTCATTACTGAAACTGTCTTCCTAGCAACACTTTTTGGAACTCCCTATTTTCCATATGTTGAACCCTCACTTATAAAGGCCTTATTACACTATCCCAAGAGAAAGAATTCTATGTAAATATTTAAAATTGATTGGCAAGAGATCTTTTAATCTCTGAAGTGACCAGGTATGCCTGTGACAAAATATACTGTATATTTAGTATTGCTCTTTATATATTGCTTCCAGACCAAACTGTCCAGTGAAACATATACATTTGAAGATGAATTTTTTTTAGAAAATGTAAATTTTTTAAGATTTAAAAGCAGTTTTAATGCATTTCTCAGTCCATTCCCTGGTATGATCAGCTTCAGTCAAGCCAGTTCTTAATTGAACACATACAACCCTGTTGTATTGTTGAAAATTGTTGATATGAGACTGAAGCTGATTTAACAGTAATCCTTTTGGTTTAAATAGTTTCTCAAAGTATTGTAAAAACAGTTTTATATCTGTTTTATTTTCCTTAAATTTCTCAGTTGAAAGTTAGTTTTTGAATAGTGATCACATTTGAATAAAGAAGTCTCTTTGTAGTATATTTATGAGTTTTCAATTTATTCTTCTCAACAACTTCAATAGAGTCAAGTATGTTCTTGATATAAACATTCTTCTTTGAAGTAGAAAAATAACTTTGAAATTTTTTAGCCTGGTTTGATAGCTACACTGTTTACCTAATGTCAATATTTATATATTAGAAATGTCCAATGTCATCTGTTTAAAATGATCTTTTAAAATGTTTTAAATAAAAATTTAATTGCAAATTATGTCATAGCAAAGTAAAAACTCCATGTTTCTTGTATATATTATATTATAAGTGAATAAGTGACAGAAAAAACTGGTCACCCATAAGTTTTTATAGGCTAACTTTTAAAGTGGCCCATATATGCCATTTTAAAACAAACCTGCCTCATCAGCATTTGGTATTGAGTAACAAGTAACAACTTTGACATTCATATTTTATTATGTTATTTTGTTCCATTGTTAATTCTATAGTGGCTCAATCAAATATTGGCAAAGAATCTATATCTTACAAAATAGAATTGTTTCTAAAGTTCTAGAATCTAATTCTATGAAAGTTCCACCATTATGAGTATATTATTATAGCTAAGTGCACAGCCTCATTTAGAAAATTGATAGATGACATATAATTGTAAATAGTTTATTAAAGAGCTCTATTATTGGTTTATTGTATCAAAATTAGTATTTTAGCCTAGGTGCTTGTCCAAGTTCTGCCTACAACGATTCTTAGAATTATAATTATAGATAAGTGTAAACAATTCTTCAAAAACTTATTTTTAAAAAATTGCCAATTTCAGCAAAAAAAAATAATATATAAATAATCATAAATACCATACTAATGGCTGAATTGATTAACAACTAATACTGGTGTGTTTTTCTCATTCAATCTTTACAGATAAAATTGGAAGAGAAGAATAAAGAAATAGAAATGTTTAAAAATTTTCAAGCAGGCGTTCTGTTCATCAGTGTAAGTGATATTTGTTGTTTCTTTCTATTCAATTTTTACATATTCAAAGGTAAATTTCTTTCAATAGATTCTTTTATTTAAAAATGATGTTAAAAGTGATAAATGTATTGACAACATTTTAAAGGAAAATATGAAATTGATACAGAATGATATAAATCAAAGAATTGATAATTTGATTAGTTTGTATTCAAAAATCTTTATACTTTTCCTATTAAATTTTTCTTTTTCTTTTTCAGGTTCAGTCAACAATCCAAGATTATCAAAACACAGTTTAAAACAAATTGAATGCAAAGGACAGATAACGTTAAATCAAAAATTGAATGGTAAAATGATAACGGATTATTTAATCACTTCAAAGGATTATCCATCGGATTATCCAAATAATCATAATTGTATGATAATTATGAATGTTGAAGAAGCATTTAATGGGGTTTGTATGAGGAAAATAGACAAATCTATTGTCCAATAATTAGTTAAATTGGGATAAAATTTGGGATTAAAATCCATTTATGCTATAATTATGTATACTTTACCAATAATGTTAAATGAATTTCTATTTATAGTACATAGAGTTCACATTTCACGAATTCCATCTGGAATTTTCAAAAAATTGCCGTTACGACTCTCTAACAATTTCTGATGATAGAGAAACAGTGACTCTATGTGGAAAAGGCCTAATGAAAAGTTAGAAATATCTTATCATTTTTTACTGCCAAAAACCATTCATTTTGTAAATTTTGAATTATTTACAGATTCTACTGCAAATTTTGGAGATAATGTTAACGTTGGAATGCATCCGACAATAAATAAAACAATTAAATTGAAACCAAATGGAGCATTAGTCATTCATTTTAAAACTGGTAACAAATTCACAAAATCTGGATTTGTTTTAAAAGTTAATTTTAGAAATGATAAGTTAAATTGTAATAGAAATGGAACAGTTAGTGATAAAATTGATAAAATTACTGAAATGATACAAACTAGAGAGAGTCGAAGAGATGACTTTTATTCATCAGGTAACTACTCTGATGAAAACACAACAATTAGTAGTAATAGCAGTAGCAGTAGTAGTAGTAGTAACATTTCCATGGAAATAAACTCAACTACTCCTATGCCCCAATTAACACCACAAACAAGAGAAATACAAAAATCAGCAACGCTACTCGTAAACAATAAAACAATTTCTTGCGATAGTCTAAAATTTTCTGAATTGGAATTTGATTGTAATGGAAAAAGCTATGATATCATTTCAAATAATCCATATTTGCCCAATTCAAATTGTCGTATTGATTTACTACCTCCAAAAGAGAAGAATGGGGTAAAAATAATCATTTTTTTAATAAATACAAAACAACAAAAAATATTCTATTTCTTTTTTTGCAGACGATTTTTTTCAAATTTAAATATTTTAGTACAGAAAGTAGTTTAGAATGCAAATACGATTATGTTCAGATTGTTGATGATCATGGATTGACTCATGAATTCTGCGGAGATCAAAGTAAACATATCACCAATTTGATTTTCAAATTGTATTTTTTATTACTCTTCTCCCCTTTTTTTTATAGTTCTGGGCGATAAAGGGAATACTTCCCTACAAAGTACACGCTATCCTAATGAAGTGGATATAAATAAAACATATTTTACAAAAATGAAAAAATTATTTCAATTAAGATTTAAAAGTGATGATGGATTTAATCAATTCTCTGGATTTCATTTAAGAACAACATTCTCTTGTCAACCATTCGTTCTACCAGAGAGACAAGTTTTATGCAAAAGGAATAGTGAAAATATTCAAATACACTGCGATATGGGAGATTTAAGAATCATTGCTCCAATCAGTAAAACTAATAAATGGTGTTCAATTATTTTAGCTGTACACAGAAAAAAGATTGTATGTTATCTATATTTTTTCACTATTCAAAACATTCAAATCAATTGTTTGTTTATCATTTTAGGAAGTTGAATTTGAATTTCTCTCATTCAATCTAAAGAAAAAAACTGGAATGAATTACAATGCTTTGCAATTTGCTCTAAATTTTCAGTATATTAAGTATTCTGGAAAAGCGAATGAAGTGGGGTTAGTATACATAGTATTACCTTCATTGCAAGGTCAAGGTCATAATATATAAAATGATATATTCCGCTTTCTATTTATGCTAGTACGGGAAAGAATCGAATTAGCCTCTTCAGTGGAGAAGATTTTAAACCTCCAAAACTGGGAACAACTTATTACATTAGCGAAACTGGAGATTTAGGAATCCATTATTCCGAAAATACTGATACTGTAGGAAATTCATTTGAAATGATTGCACGTGCAAAATGTACTTCATAAAAGCTTAAATATTATTTTACATTTATTGTAGTAGTTGTCTATTCAATCTAATCTGCTTTTTACTGTTCAAAAATTTCATTTAGCAATAAAGTAAAAAAGAGAAAAAAGTAACAATGTTTTGTACAATTTTCAATAATCAACTCCTCATAGATATTTTCTTGCAAAATTTTCAAAGAATAGGCTTTGAGTAAATGAGTTTCTAGTTCTAAACAACGAAGTTTAAATAACTAGCTCATGGCGAAAGAAATGAACTGACAAGCTGGGGAAATGTTTTAAAGGCTTACCCAGAAGAAATGTGACAATCCCATAATTCACATGTAACAAGAATATGAAAGATTGTTATATCACACATAAATGTGTTTTTTACTTCCTTTTTAATGAACTTCCTTGTTGGCGAATTCTTTGTAGGACATCTCAGCCTTTTAGTTCTTTTATTGCACACCCAAATGCTATTTTTAGAAGTTTTAGCCTTGAGTGTGAATGAAAATTCATTGTTTATCAGAATGTGTTTTTCAAGTTGACTTTCACTCCAACTTATTTGAAAATCCTTATTCATAACTTTTTGGAAAATGTCAACAACTGCAGGGTCTATTATTTCAGGATACGACAGAAAATGTCCCCAAATACACAGTTTAACTCTAATCCTAATCCTCTAGCAATTGTCTTTCCTTAGCCTTTTTGATTGCTCCTAACCCATAGATGAAACCTTCCCAAGTACAAATCAGTTGTTGCCCTACTCCTCCTAACCCATTTCTCAATCTAAAATCTAATCTTGAAACTTCTCATTTGTGGACATTTTCTGTTGATGTAATTCAATTGCTGGTTTCCTCAAAACGCATAAGAAAAGTTCGATAGTGACAATCTGTAAGAATTCTTTTTTAGCGTACTAATTACTTATAAACCATAAATCAATGAATTCTGCCACGTCAGAAATATTGTTTTTATTAGTTACATCACCTTAATTTCTAACTGTAGAGCTTGGAGGTGTGTTTGTTTGGTATATTATTTCATAAGTACATTTTTGAATAGCAATTGTGTAACCTGAATTTAGCCTCTTTCCCCATTAAGCAGTCTGCTACAATAGATGACGTCAATTTGAACTAAACAGCTTAGAGGGCGTTTTGGAGAAATGGATATTCATTGATATCAACGATGAGTGCACTATTATAGATAACAAATATAGACTCATCAATAAATTTCTTCCTTAACTATAATTGTAGTTATGGGAAATGGAATATTTAAAATAAAACTGGTAATCTTTTCAATTATATATATATATATTTCATATAACACCAATATAACAGCTGCTTTCAATCAAATTCAATTTCCTTAAGATTGAATGTTAAAAACAAGAAAAATAATGTTGAATTGTATACCAGTTTCTTTTTTTTGTTAATATCAATAATAAAGATATTTTCTAATTTAGAACAGATATCTTTAGGATAAACGAATTTTTTAGCGAGTTTGTCTAATCATGTTTCTCGAAAACAATATCTTCATTGTTTATACTAGTTGTTTGCCTACCATTTCAATAGGTTGTTTTACAAAAAGGCCTATTTATTTGGGTTGCACAAAATTAGATTCTATACTATATGTCGGCAATCTATTTATAATTCTGTCTACTATTTTTCTTTGTTCAAAAACAGAAAGTAGAATTCTTCTCTTATCGACTTGGACACACTATTGGATATAAAAAGTATAAAAAGAACTTCTAGCAGTCATTTATATTTGTGAATTTACTAGAGAGATTGTTTAGACATAAAAAGAAATGTCTAAAAGGTAAGAATTCCTACATTCGTATTTCATCATCATTGTAAAATTTTATTATTTTATATTTCTCTCATAGAAACTTAAAAGGATGTCAAATTGACAAAAATTCAGAGTTTTCACAAATAGACATTCAATATTTGAATGAATTGAAAGAGAGAATAAACCTTCAAATTTTACAATTAGAAATTAATGTAATCCGATGATTAATAAAACAAAAATTTTACTTTTATCCAATAATTTAATTTCCCTCTCTACAGGAGTGTGTTTGTCAGTTGAAATGTTTTAATTGGCCTAATATTGTAGAAGAAATTCTTAATTTCTTTAATGTAAACGACATTTCACATATTTTTTTTTTACTTACAAAAATTTTTTTTTCTCATAGAAATTTATTAGAGAAGTTAAAAGGATTATTGAAGAAATTCATAATGTAATATTTATCTTTATTGAGCAGTGTCAAAGATTTAAAAATGAAGAAACAAACTTTACTGAAATATCAGTAAAACGTATAAATTCACTCGATAATTTGTAAGTTAATATTTAGGCTTTTTATTGATATACTAAACTTTTAGAATATTTTTTGACATCTGTTCAGAATGTCTGAATTCATTGAATCAATACAAGAGTTTGATATCATCTTACAAGAATTGGTTGAAGAATCAGAAATTTTACAGTATTCCGACACTCTAAATTGTAAAACGCTGTTTATGGAAAAACACACTTTAATGACTTTAGATAATGATCTAAGAGTAGCTACAAATATCCTATATAATGATCTTCACCAGTTGATAAATCAATTTCTCTTTGTCGTATCACCAACACCTGAAATTGTCAAATATGAAAAAAGGAATGTTGTAAAGAGTGAATTTACTATACGTTTAATGTGCAGTGAGGCTTTGAAGTTGACAACTTCTATAGGAATTAAGGAAATAAACATTATTCAACAGATACCACAAATGAATACATCTACCTATGAACTTCAAAATAAATCTCCAAAGAAAGTAATTTATCCCAGTGGAATGGTTAATTTTGAATTTGACTTACTCTTACAAAATACATCTCAAAATAAGGATAGACTCAAAATAGATAAGGATAATGCAGTTGCATCATTCAGATATTATTTAAATGTTGATTTGGAGAAATTCAAATGGCATAATAGGGAATTTAATTTGTGTATTAGCACAAGAGCATTTGGAATCATTTCTCAGACATCACAAGTTGTTCAGGCTACAGGCAATATGAAATGGTTTAGATGTTTTGGAGAAGCTACTAGAAAACCTTGGAGTGAATTCAAGAATTTATTGTTGGACTATTACCATAGAAATACTGGAAGGCATTTAACATCTGAGCAAATCAACTATTTAAGAGACAGATTCAGTAAGAATAACAACTTTTTCACAAATACAAAATTCAAACTTTTCCATAATCTTTTGCAGTGTTAGAGAATGATGATAGTATTATCTCTCTTAATGATTTTTTACAGGTAAAAATTAAATATTTTCTCAAATATTTCATCATTCGTTTTCTACTAATTTTTGTTTTTTTAAATTAGAAAAGATATTCAGACAGATCTACAAAAACAAATTGTATTAAACTTCAAAAATCAAATTTTACACCTTGGTATTGGTTTGTGGCATGCATAAATTTATTAAATAGAAAGGAAGCCAAACAATATTGGCAGCAAGGGTAAGAACAAAAAATTCTTGGGCACTAATTTTACTGAAATCCAATTGGTTTTTTCCATAGATTGATTTATGGTTTTATAAGTAAAGAATATGCTGATAGAATTCTTACAGATTGTCACCATGGAACTTTTCTTGTCCGTTTTGCTGAGAGTAGAATACAACCTACCCAGAAAGCAGCACCAAATGCAAATTTTACCTTAGCTGTGAAATATGAAAACACAATCTACCATCTACAGGATTATTTGACTTTTAATGATTTGGAAGACAAAAAATTGGATTTATTTCAGACCTTAAATGAAATGACAATTCATAGTACTGGAAATAAACTAGTTGCAAATGGGCAAGTTGTTCTTAGTCCTATAGAAAATCAGCCATTGAAGTTGAAAATTTTCACAGAGATCCTATCTAACAACAACCCGGAATTATGTAAGAAATAGTAGTTCAATAATAAAAGCAATGTAATTGTATTTTTTCAATCAGCTGAAGATTGTGACTATAATGCAGAGGGTAGAAACTATCATATTATTCTTAAATCATCTAACAGGTATTAAAAGTTTATTACAATGTGTAAGAGATATGAACATTGTTGAAAGGGTTTACAAGTCAATGAAAAGAGTTCATAGGCTGATTTAGAGGATTCACAAGAATTTGTAAATAGACTTAAAAACATGTTCTTTTTTGGGAAATTTCTAAATTCTATTATGTTTTCTACTTTATTTAACAATATATGCAAATTCATTATGAACAACGATGATTTTCCTCTTCAGCTTCCATTTTTAAATATCTCAGAAGATCTATCAGTCAGCAAAATATTCTCTTTCACTTCCTTCAAATGTAATTTCATTCACCTGTTAAAAATGGAATTGCTTGTTTATTTATCATGTTTTGGAAGAATTCTTCCAATTTTTGCCTTGTTGACCCTTTCAATTGACTTACACCATCTATACTGGTCCCAAGGAATGTTAGACTATTGTTTAATTAAAATATTTGATATATTTAGGACTCGGAATAAATTCATCGCGGAATTGAATGGAAAGAAAGAAGAATTTGAGCCACTTACACCTGTTGTCAACAACACACCTTTTACCATTGTTCAGGATGTGCTTTCGACTTTGTCTCCTGTGCAAAGCCCTCCCATGCGAATCTTTATAGAAAATGGTCTGTAATCAAAATCCAAGATTAATCACAGTACCATAGATTATGAAACTTTGTTCAGTATGCATCTCCAGCAGAATAACTCAAATGTATGTCCCAACTTTTCAAAACAATCTAGCCAAGCCAACAGCAAATAATACTTCTATCTTTTCAAGAAATAATATGAATATCAGTGATAAAGATTAAATGGCAAGGTACCCCTTTTTTGTTTGGCTTGAAGAAAGAATTATTTTCAAAATTGACAAAACACTTAGGTAATTTAAAGAAAAAACTATAGGGTTTTAATGTCAAAGAGTACATAATCCAAACTGTTGAGTTTTAATAATGAAATTGTATTTGAAAATTTAAGAATATTTTTGCAGATATTTGAATCTCTTAACAGAATTTCAATACAATTTATGACAAAATTGATATTTAAGGGTTCACCTATACAAAACTTGTTGTTGTTCACATTACTTTTGAATAATATGATAACTGTTGATTCTTCTCTGGGGATTTGTTTCTCCTAGCCATTTAGCTTATTCATGACTGTTCATCATTTGAATTACACCTATCACAATAAATTGAACTGCTGCCAAAGTTACAAATTCTATTTATCATTCAATTATGAATTGTCCTTGACCTTGGAAATTTTTTTATATGGCTGAATATTATTTATTTTTCAATTTTGATTTGTATTAAATTATGAATGGCACATCACCACCCAGATAATTACTATAAATAGTTCACTATCCTTATACAGTATAGATTTCACATAACAAAGGAAGGTTTCTCAAGCCTTAATACATTTATTACATTAGGGTGTTTTATTGGTGTGTAGATCTTTCAAGTAGGTTTATCAGTATAGTCAGATATCTGATCCCATATAAACATATGTAACTTGATAGTGGAATTAAATTTCCACATCTTCTATCTTTCAGCAACCTTTAATGTAGAGACAATTTGATAAAAATCTCAAAAAAAAGGATACAATTTTCTGTTTTTCACATTAACATTTTATCCCTTGTTATAATTACTTATCATTGTGTCTGTATGTTTCTAAAATATTAAGAAAAATATATATATTTTAGAGTTGATGAACTGTCTATGTTATGTTTATCTTATTTAACAGAATGTTACAATGTTGAACATTTAGGACCAGACCTGATGGAATAGGTTAGCTTATCTGGCAGTTTCAAGTGTTTTTTTTTGCTTCAGAAAAATGATTTTCTTGATATTCAACTGAGCTGTTTAGTGTTACATTCTTTCACAACAATTAGAGGAAAGAATTTAGATATTTTTTCATTAGATATACATATTCATTCCTAAAAGAAGAATGAAAATAACAAATGTAAATTACTGATTAATTTTTGTTGTTGCACTAAAATCTTGACCTTTTTTGAGAAAAAAGCTTTATTTAAATATTTAAATTATGAAAACATTCAACTCACATTTAAGCAGTTTAACAGTTTCTTGTTGTAAATCTTTTGGTATTGCACACTTTCCAATATTAGTTATAAGTGTACAATTTGAAAGATTTTCTCTTCCATTTAGTTTTGACAGCAGTCTTTGACAAGCTTTATTAAAAATAACACCAATATTTTAGGTAAAAGTCTTAATATGAAACAAAACTTTGAATAATAATACCAAAGCTCCATTCAATTTCTGTAATCTGAATTGCTAAGTCATTGTTTAAACCAGGACAGGCTTTTTTGAGACACAGCTTTAGTTTTTTGCCCTGTTCACAAAGTTTTTCAGCATTAAATGACTTTAGAAGCTGCAACTGTTCAAATACAGATTGACAAAGACATTCCATACATTTTGTATAACAATCATCTTGATCAACATTCTCCATTTCATGAAAAGGAGAATATGTAATTAGGTCAAAATCATGAATACTGTTGCCAAGTTTTCTATTCTGCTCCTTTGACAAGGAAAAAAGAGGATAATCATTGGTGTCAAATTAAAGATTTTTTAATTTTAAATCAGTTAAAAAGAACATTTGTTAATGTTATGGAAACTGTTGCTGTTCAACAAAAAAGAACAAAGTCCACTGAAAAAATGATATGTATTTGAAAAAGTGCACAGTTAACTTTTCACTACATTCCATTCCTTTTCTCATTCATGATACAGTGTTTCATTTTTCAAATTGCAATAATTATCATTGTTCACAAATTCATTTTCTCGGATTGAAATGTAAAATAAATTCATATTTAAATTGTTTAAAATACATAAAAACTGTTTTGTAAATTTTTCAGAATGTTTATATCGATTAACAGAGAATAGAAGATATGCAGATAGTAATTTTATACTGCCAGCAACATTTTATGATCACTTGTGATTAGTATGAATTGTGCAGGTTATCTAAAAAAAATACACCAAAAGTGAATAATCTTTATTTTTTTCTAACCAGAAATATTGTAAATATACATTCATTTCTGTTCCTCTTAATAAAATATGTTACTTGAAAAAGATAACAATAGCTGAAAGGGGTTGGGAAAATACGTCCTTGGGAAAAAATGTCCTAAAGGCTGGGAAAAAAGTCCTATGCCTGGCAAAAGATATACTTGTCCTAATTATTGATACTTATAATCAGAAATGTTTTTCTCTTTGCTGTTTACTTCATTTATAGAATAAAATATTAATATTTTTGAAGAAAGGGATATGTATTGTGATGTTTTTACCAGTTTTCTCTGAATTATGTAATGCTATTAAAAGAGAAATGAGTTATTTCCTTGTCTTGTCTGTAAGTGAAAGATAAATTTTGCATTTCTTGGCATGTTTTCAGGCTAATTTGTTTTTTAAGCATTGAAACTCTGGTATTGATTTGGTTTATTGAATATTACAAGATTATACATTTTTTAAGAACCCTTCTTTCCAGTGAGTTATTATTTATCATTTTTGTATTGGCAGCCATATTTGATTTTGAAAGTGAATTTATTTTTGCAGAAACTTAGTAATGGCACCTGTTTTGTATTAATTGTAATAAAAGATTTTATGGCAGACAGAGAAAGATGAAATGCAGTGACTGCGAAGATTATGTCCATGCCAAATGCATCAAAGGTCTGTCTCTTTATATGTTTTTATTAAATTATTCACTTTTTTCATTTTCAATTTAGAATCTGAAAGAGTATTTTGCAATAATTGTGCAGAAAAGTTCAGGATTGAAGAAATTGCATGTTCACTTTGTCATCATATCTGTAAAGGTGATATTTACTATGTACAAACATACATTTATTTAACTTTGCTTAATATTACAGAAATGAAAGATGATAAGTGTTCTTCATGCAAAAGTTTGAGTGAAAGATATTGTCTCATTAGTTTATCAGATGTGATTAATGATGATCCCATTGTAAAAGCTGCTCTGAGTTGTACTCATAATAACATGGTTAAAGACAATTGTAGGGTTCAGACAGAAAACGTCCCCAAACAGACAGAAAATGTCCCCAAAAATTAATTGTCAAAAAAGTTGAAAAAAATTAAAAAAATTTCACCATTTTTACAATGACGGTATAGGAAGATATAGTCTTTTTTGTTATATGTCATTATTTCAGCAAAAAAAAAAGAACTATATAAAATAAACTAAAGAACAGAAAACGTCCTCAAAGTGACAGAAAACATCCCCAAAGTGACAGAAAACATCCACAAGCTCAGAGAAAATCCCCTAATGCAGACAGAAGAACAGGCTATGTCAATTAAAAAATATCTGCACAAAATAATATAAAAATTTTTACAATATTTCACAAAATTCAAAATAAATGCTCCTAAAAACAATTGGAAATCTTCAGGCAGTAAGACAGAAAAATTCTACTTCCTTCTTTATTATCACTCATTAGAGGTAATGTGAAAATTTATTATTTATTGTTTTTTTTTCAAAGCTTTATTATTATATTAATTTTTTAACACTACAAAGGATTTTTATAATCAAAAGTTTATATATCATCCTAACCAAAAAATTGACAATTTGAAGTTCATTTTTATCTTTTAATTTGATTTTTACATTGTAATGCTTGTGGTAATCCAATTATCATCCAATCATTTTGACTTTTCATATCAATTTTACTCTAACAAATTATTACTTACCAAGGTTTGAAAAAGAATATTCTCAATTTTTCAATAATGGAAAACACATGCTATATCTGCAATGATGCCTTCATAGGCAGCCAAATTAAAGGCAAATGTTGTCTTTGTTTCAAAACATGCCATATCAAGTGCATTCAGGGTTTGTATTATTTATGCCTTTAAAAAATCAATCATCCTAATGATTCAGATCCAGCATCAAATTCACCATTATGTTTAAGTTGTTTTCAAATCTCAAAAAGAAATTGTTCTGTAATCTTGAAGAGAATAGATGAAGAAAAAGAACAAAGCATAAATGAATCCAGAGAGGAGTTGAGATTATCATTTTCTTTTGAGAGCATGGAAAGCATTGATGATTGTTCAAAACGAGTTCAAAGTGTTGTGAATGAGGAGGATATTATGTTCAGTAATGAAATTGAAGTAAGTACACTGACTACACTCACTGGTGGAGAAATCTCTGATGTGCAGGAAGAGTCTTTTGAAAGTGATATTGATCAAACCAAAAATGACACAGACAAATGTCATTTTAAAATTTTACCAAAAGCAAGTCAGAAAGGAAAAGACATTTTAATCTATAATGGATATACCTTTAATGTTAAAATCAAAAGAAAAGCTACTACAACATGGATTTGCTCAGTTCGTAATAAATCTAACAAATGTTCTGCTACCATCATTCAAAAAGAAAAAAATTTCCATTGTGGAAGAAAAAACCACAACCACTCACCAGTGAAAAATGTTGAAAAGCAGATTGTCATTAGAAATGATATCAAATAGAAATCTGCTAATGATATTAAATCATCAGGAAAAAGAATAGCTGAGGAAATTCTTTTAAAACATTGTCATGGAAAATGTAGTTTGCACAATTGCAAAGAAGTAGCCAACTACAGCAGGAGAAAAAATAGACCGGTTGAACCAAATGATTTAAATTTTCAACTTGATTTAACTGATCATCAGTTAAAACTCTTGTCTATGGCAAAGATATGGTACATGGATGGTACTTTCAAAATTGCAAGAGATCCATTTGTTCAAATATTTTCAATACATGGCTTTTTAAAGAAAAATGGAGAGTTGAAGCAGGTGCCATTGCTTTTTTCATTTCTAAGCTCAAAAAAGAAAAGAGCTTATAA